TTGCTGGAAAAGCTCAGCAGGTCTGGCAGCATCTGTGAAGGAAAAAACAGAGTTAATGTTTTGGGTCCGGTGACCCTTCCTCAGAGGGTCACCTGAGGAAGGGTCACCAGACCCGAAATGTTAACTCTGCTTTTTCCTTCACAGATGCTGCCAGACCGGCTGAGCTTTTCCAGCAACTTTGTTTTTGATTTCATCCTCCTACCCTTTTGCCTGCTGAACTTGTATGCTAGCTTTTTGTGATTTATGCAGAAAGACTCCCAAATCCCTTGTCCTGTAGTTTTCCATAGTCTTTCTCTATTTAAATAATATTCAGCTCCTCTATTTTTCCTGCCAAAGTGCATAACATCACATATTTTCCGTATTATACACCATCTGCTGTCTCAATGTTGTCATTAGACCCCAAATGATAGTAAGAATAATCTTGTATGGTTGACAAGGTTGTGGTTCCCATAGTCATTTCTGTTGCCTAGGCTGATGACAGGTAGTCCATTTGGTTTTGTTACTTTTTTGAGGCTCTTTAATGGTTTGATAAACCGAGTGGCTTGCTAGCCCAGTTCAGAGAGAAGTTAAGAGTCAAACATATTGCTGTGGATCAGGATTTATAGGCAAGTTGGACCAGGTAAAGACAGCAGATTTTATTCCTTAGAAGACAGCAGTTAACCAGAGGGGCTTATATGACAATCAACAATGCTTCCATGAACACGATTAGACTAGTAATTCTAGATTTTTAAAAATGTTTTGAATTCAAGTTCCACTATCTGCATTGAAGTCAAGTTCCCAGAGTGCTGCCTGGCTCTCTGGATTATTAGATAAGTGACATTACCATCACAACATTGCTTTCTCACCTTACCACTAAACATCAAACTATTGTTTTCTACTGTTGGCATTGACCTCATCCCACCAGTGATTTTTGCTTCATAGATTTTCACTTCATAGTTCTCCAGCCTTATACAGCTGATTTTGACCTTCTTCCAAAGATCCACAAACTGGATTACTCTAATAGACCTGTTGTTGAAACCCGTTCTTGCTTTACTGAACCCATTTCTTCCCTCATTAACTCTTAACTCCCCAGTGATGTCTTTCCCTACCTATATCTGTCATTCTTCTGATACGTACCTTCACTTTGGAAGGTTCCAATTATGTGACCTCAATCATCTCCTCATTAGTATGGACTTCTAATCTCTACACCTATATTCCCCATCAGAATGGTCTGAAGGTTCTCCATTTATACCTTAATGGAGGCCCAATCAATTTCCATTGACCAATACCCTCCTCTGCCTGGCTAAACCAATTCTCTCATTGAGCAATTTCTCCTTTTAATTCAACTCACTTCCTTCAAACAAAAGCTATCGCTGTAAATACCCTGTCCTAGGCTATGCCTGCCTTTTTGCAGGTTATTTCTAGCACTGGGCCTATTCAAACCAGCTCTGAATTGCAACACTTCATTAAATTTGCTTTCAAATTTCTAACTTTCTCTGTCTCACATTTCTAATTCTTCCCTGACTTCTCTGTCTCCATTTCTGGTGATAGCATTTGAAATAATGTTCATTATAAGCCATGCAACTCCCACATTAAATCTTGACTATAGTTCTTCCTCACATTCTACATCATGTATGATTCCATTCCATTTTTCCACTTCCTTTAGCTCTATCATATCAGGTCTGATGCAGTCTTACACAACTGCTTCTGACTGCCTTTTTTATCACCTGAGCAATGCCCCACACTGTGGTTCTCAGGGCCACATGGCTCTGTCAGCCAAGGATGATCCTCAGCTTCTGCTGGCCTGTCACTTTAATTCTGTACTTTGTTCTAATGCTCCTTATCCTACTGCACTACACTCATGCAAATCAACAGAAATTTGAGGAATTTCATTTTATCTTTCAATTAGGCACTTCTTAGCCTTCTGGTCTCAATGTTGAGTTCAACAGTTTCAGAATATAATTCTACCCCTTTTGTTTTTCATTGCTTGCTCCAGTCTTTTTCTCTTAGCAGTATACTTGGTCTAGACAATGTGTTGATATTGTTATGGACCAGATTAAACCCCATCAAAACATATCAAAAAGATAGCCGAGATCCTAACTTTTATCTCAATTAAAGGCAAATTTACATTCCAGGTGTGATTTGATTGGTCAAATTACTAGGCTTTAAGCAAATCACACTTTATTCTTATACCACAATTAAAATGCAAACAAAAAAGAATGGGCATAACTTTAACACTAGTGAAATCCTTAACAAAATAATATATATTTTAACCACTATTCATCAACTGTTCCAATAAAGGAGCATCCCATAAACCCACCCTTGACAAAGGCAAATTCAGCAGAATAGATTTCCCTTACTTGCGATCTTCTCCAGTTCAGAAGAAAGAAAAAATTGAAAGCATGAATCTACCAGCAGAGGGAGAACTCAAGCTTTTTGCCCAGCAGAGAGAGCTGTATCTAGCAGCTTCAACTCCAAAACCCCAACTTCGACAACTGAACGCAAAAATTAAAACCCTGTGTCTGTGTGTGCCTGAGTGCACCCACTCATGCTTCTTATGTCCATTTTTTTAAAAACCAAAGCTATTTACTCAGCTTTCAATGGAGCAGACACCTCACACCAGGTTTAGAATACCTCTCTTCAAGAGAAACAGGATAGAACAAATTCCTCTTAAAGGCATATTTTGTCACAATACTCTTCTTGACCATTTCCACTCCCTTTATCCCTGGAAGATCAACTCTTCTGTAATTCACTCTATCTAGTCTTTCACCGATCACAGACATTCTATGTTATTATTTTCAGCCTCTCCTGACCAACTTTCACAAACCTTATCACATTTCCAACATTTACCAATATCAATAAAGGTCACTAACTGAAAATTGACTCTTGCTTCTCCACAGATGCTGCCATAATGCATTGTGTTTTTCAAGCATTACTTCTATTTATTTCAAATTTCCAGCATTTCTGCAGTATTCAACTTTATAGTTTCCATGAGTGGATTTCGTAGCCTCAGTTCAATTGATTTAAATAGTTATAGATTATGCAAAAACGCCTACAGAGAAGTTCATCAATACAGTGGGTGCCATACCTGTAGCATGAAATGAATACATCCACACAGACTGTCATATTGAATGCTGATACATGCATTTTTAACCTGAAGGAAAACAAGTACAGCAACAAGTGCAGGATAAAGAGTGTTTGTTAGAAATGTAAAACGACAAAGGTAGAGAATGACAGAAAGAACTTGATAGTATTGAATGTAGGTTTTTGAAGGCACTTTGTATTTACATTTTAATGATACTGTGTGTCACAAGCCTGTATTTCTCTATTTTTGCAGATCTGACTTTTAAAGCCTTTGACTGGTTGGAACTGCAGTAAATTGGACGAGACAAGTTAAACTGCTTAAAAATGCCAAGCGTCCTCAAGGTGGAGGTGAGAGGATAAACAAATTGCACTTGGCAGAAATAGGAGGGAGATGATGCAAAAGGAGGGGCTTCAACCAATCCAGTTAACCACTGAAATCTATTACGGTTTCAAGAAGAGATCAACTAATAAGACCAAAAGACCTAGGAGCAGAAATTAGGCCATTCGGCCCATCAAGTCTGCTCCACAATTCAATCATGGTTGATAAGTTTCACAACCCCATTCTTCCACTTTCTCCCCATGACCTATGATTCCCTTGACAATCAAGAACCTATTTATCTCCATCTTCAATATAATCAATGACGTGACCTTCACAGCCCTTCCGTGGCAGTAAATTCCATGTATTCACCACTCTCTGGCTGAAGAACTTTCTCATTATCTCCGTTCTGAAGGGTCTTCCCTCTACTCTAAGGCTGTGCCCTCGGGTCCTGCCAATGGAAACATCTTCCCAACGTCCACTTTGTCCAGGCCATTCAGTATTCTGTAAGTTTCAAATAGATCCCCCCTCATCCGTCCATACTCCATCGAGTATAAACCCAGAGTCTGCAGATGTTCTTCATACATTAAGCCTTTTGTTCTTGGGATCATTCTCATGAAACCCCTCTGGACCCACTCCAGGGTCAGTAAATCCTTCCGGAACACTGAACTAGCACTCCCAAGTCCCTTTGCACTTCAGATTTTTGAATTTTCTCCCCATTTAGAAAATAGTCTGTGCCTCTATTCTTCCTACCAAAGTGCATGACCTTACACTTTTCCACATTGTATTCAAACTGCCAAGGCATTGCACATTGACATCCTGGCTTTTGCAGACAGGCACAGCAAAACAATCTTCTGTGAGATTTATATTGGAACCAAAGGTGGTTCTAAGAGCTTTTGGGAGGTAACTGAAAAGGAAGCAGTTGTCTCCATTTTTCTCTCTCTTCCCACAAAGAAACTAGCCCAGTTTCTGTGGAGACAACAACAGAGGAGGGTCCAATAAACCAGCTTAGCAAGCTAAGAATTTTAAAATAACTGCAATATTTATTGTTGATTACTATTGATCTATTGAAGAAACCAGCTAATCCAACTTGTTCGAGGTTAAAACCTTCATGTTAAGGATCACAAATGGGAATCTAAACTGTATATTCTTTTATCTTACTTTGTTTTGGACTCTATTACCTTTTAATTTTGTACATTGGTGTGCAGGTAAGGGCACAACTGACTGCATTAAGGCCAGATGCGTGATGTCGCGGCTTTTTTTGTGATTTAGCAAGTAATAAATTTGTTCTTTGCTTAACTCAAGAAAACGTGGTGATTGACTCCTTATTACTTTCTGCAAAAACAGTTAACTACATTTTAATTGGAAAAAGTAGAAATTCGTGTTAAAAAAGAACGTATACCTTTGTTGTGACTAATCAGTGAAGTCAAAACTCATGGGAGCCAATTCACCTCTTCTCACCTTATCCTAACATAAGTTTCCATTAAAAATGGCAAAATAGATTATTTCTTAAACAGCATGTGGGTATGCCAATTTCTCAAACAATTTTGCAGATTTATTCTGTGTCAAGAATACACATCTCTTGACTTACTCCTTGGATCACCCTACTCTATAAAATGTAGCACACAATTTCAAGCAATTTGCATGTGAATGGTCAAATAATTTGTATAACTGCAACAGATTCGAAGCCAAGACTTTATTCAGCAACTGCAGATTTGGGGATTATGCTTCCAGTTTCAAATTAACGTAAGGACTTCAAGCTCACTAAACCAGAGAAGGATGACCACATGAACAGTTGGAGAGTGTGGAGATGGTTAGTTCTTCTGGAAGGAAATGAATATAGAGCTGTTATTTGGCACTGAAAACATGCCTGAATAATTCCAAAACCCCTTCTATAAGTCCACTACAAAAACTCAGGCCCCGTTTTCCACCTCTTCCCTGATGATTTCTACCTTGTGTTGATGTGGCCATTGGTTTTACCAAGGCTTGTTTGAAATTCCAGGTAAACTTGAATTCTTCCTGATGTTGGCGTTTTGAAAACTCTGAGACTGGCTTTCCTCCTTCCGGGTTTCCTTTGCATACGGTGCTGAGAGAGGGCAACGTGAACCTGGTATCCTGTAGTCATACTTAGGAGTGGTGGAAGAAAGAGGTGCCTCACACCGAGTTCCAGGCTTTAACAAGGAGCGATTTGGCTGATTTGATATGCTGCATGAAGGGGTTTCCACATTCTTGGATTTTTCTCTGTAGCTCTGTTGAAGAGAACCAGGTGTCTCAGGATGCAGAAAAGGACATGTCCCATTGTAATTATTCTCTACAGCAGATTGTTGCAGGGCCTTTTTCTGACAAGGGCTCAGTGCAGATGTGTCATTTTGTACAATCCCACAGCTGTTATCTGCAGGGGAGAGTTGGCTCTGTTGTAGGGCCTTCATTTGACAAGGGCTGAGTTGATTCCTGGGAGAGTATGGGCAAAACATTGAACTGTTGTCAGGTCCAGGGCTGAGTTGGTTTCCAGGAGAGCATGGAGAAAAAGCTGTGTTGTTATCAGGTGAAGGTGAGGAGAGAGTTTGGAGGCTTTGGTTTGATAGGCCTGAGTAATTCAGTCTGCATTGTGCATTGCTGTTATCTGCAGGGGAGAGTTGGCTCTGTTGTAGGGCTTTCATCTGACAAGGGCTGAGTTGATTCCTGGGAGAGAATGGGCAAAATATTGTAGTGTTGTCAGGTCCAGAAGACATGGTATCTTGTAGATCTTGGTTTGATATGTCAGAAAAGTTCAATCTGCATTGCAAGTCACTGTTATCTGCAGAGGAGTGTTGGCTCTGTTGTAGAGCCTTTATCTGACAGGGGCTGAGTTGGTTTCCAGGAGAGCATGGAGAAAAAGCTGTGTTTTCGGGTGAGGGTGAGCAGAGTGTCTGGGGGCTTTGGTTTGATAGGCCTGAGTAATTCAGTCTACATTGTGCACTGCTGTTATCCACAAAGGAGAGCTGGCTCTTTTGTAGAGCCTTCATTTGACAAGGGCTGTGTTGGTTTCCAGGAGAGATTGGGCAAAGCTTTGCTTTGCTGTCAGGTCCAGGAGACATTGTATTGTGTAGATCTTGGTTTGATTGACCTGAATAATTCAAGGTGCATTCCGTATCACTGTCTTCATCAGACGAGATTTCACTCTGTTGTAAGGCTTTCATTTGACAAGGGCTGAGTTGGACTCCATGAGAGAACACGGTGCTGTCATCAGGTGTGTGGCACACTGTATTTTGTAGGGTCAACATCTCCTTCAAGCTGTTTTGGGGTGACATTTCGAAACTAATATTCTCTGAGTACACCATACTACGTTGCATGTTCCTCCTCTGATTGGCACCGCACACAGGAGAAACGTCAAACTGGGATAGTATCCGGCTGGTGATATTTGCAGAGGCCTCTGAACCATTTGGTACTCCTTCCGGATGAAGCGGGCAGACTGAAGAAGCATCATGCATGCTGGACTGGTTTATTGTTCCCATAGGAGAGCCAGCGATGGTAGAACTGGTTAGTGAAGGAAGGAAGTTTATCGATTTGGATGTATCATGGACACTGAAGTCATTCTCCAGCTGTGCAACAGCTGGTGATGATGCCCTTTGGCATACAGAAGAGCTTTCAGCCCCTGGGAATGTACGGTAGGGAATGTAATAATCGGCCTCAATAGTGACACTTTGGTCTTGATTATCATTGATTGTTAAACTATTGGAGTCCACGCCCTCTGGGAGGCCGAATTCGTTGGAAAATCCATGAAAGGTTTCTCTCACCATCCCATCATCGTCTTCAGCTATTTCCTTCTCATATCCGGACACTGTCACAACTCTGTCTGCGACCGACATTTTCACATTCTCGGGAGGAATGTCCCCTAGATTTAAACACATGGAGAACTTGGCCAGATCACTGTCTTCTAATCGAGACTGTAATCTCCGTGATTGGATCCGGCTATCAAAATCTCGACCAAAGAAGATGTTGCTTGCATTGTCGCCCATTTTCTTTCCGGCCCGCTTGCTGTAGATCACGACTTCATGGCTTTATTTTCCCTCAAACAGAAAGGGACTGGACCCTGGGTAAGTGCAGTTCCTTACGCCACAGAATTGTAAGCGTGAGATCACAAGAGCATGCCCACCTCTGTGATGAAATAAACAGCTGTATGGCGTTAATTGTATTTTTTGAAAAAAAAGTAAGTCGCCCAAAGACAGCAAATAATTGAAAAAAAATCTTCACTGTTAATGATATTCCTACCTTAATGAGAACCTGGAACAATTGATCTCTTGCTTTGTAAAAGAAATTGCATTAAATACGTAGATAACACAGTGTGGAGCTGGATGAACAGAGCAGGCCAAGCAGCATCACAGTGGCAGGAAAGCTGACGATTCGGGTCTGGATCCTTTTCTGAAGAAGGGTCCAGACCCGAAACGTCAGCTTTCCTGCTCCTCTGATGCTGCTTGGCCTGCTGTGTTCATTCAGCTCCACACCCTGTTATGTCGGATTCTCCAGCATCGGCAGTTCCTACTATCTCTGCGTTAAATGCGTATCTGTACAATGTTTTTGTTTTAAGATCTGAATGATTTGGTATTAGTCTGCAGTTGAAAGATTGTATACTGCGCCAATCTAAACCCTCCATTTAAGGGAGGGAGAAAATATAGAACAAATATAGATCCAGAACAAATCCTGTAATGCTCCGTGCTGGAGTAGGATCGAAATCCCAATGGGGAAGCTCTATTATCGTTGCTTTGATATGCAGTCACATTTTGATCTTCGTAGTATGAAGTAGAGTAAAGGAATGCTTCGGGTAAAAATAGAAATTTCTGCACTTTTTGGGGGGCGAGCAAAATACAAACTCTGTGGAACAATGCCTCCAGCAACACACTGGGGAAGTTTAAATGCCACCCTGAAAGTAAGTTCAAATAAATATTTGGGCTCTTCCCTTATGCTAAAAAATTGGCATAGTAGATTATGGGGCCTGTTGTTGCGTTTGTTAATGTCCGTATTCCTAACAATGTTCGCATATTATAAGATCTTTCTTTTTAATATTACAGAATATTTTCTTTCAATATGGATATCATGATAATGATAAAATATGGACTATTGATTTTCAAATACCATCCTCTGATTTTCATACATGGGAACTGGATGGACTAAATTGGTTTGAAAAAGGAAAAAAAGAAATCACCGGTTTAAAATGACAACAATCAGCTGACCACATAGGTTAGCCAAGCTTTGTGAAGTCAATGTGGAAGAAACAAAATTGCCTGAACTAATTTTTTTTTAATAAAAAGACACTGAAATTAGTTAGATGTGAATAAATCCTCTTCCCTACATCGATTTATACATCCAAGATAAGTTTCATATGTTGAAGATAAAAGAAATGTGAAAATAAGGGCAATAGCCAAGGAAAAAGAAGTTGTATTTCAAGGATACACTTGTGGAAGAACAGAGGAGATGGATTTGTGACTGAAACAAAGTACAGAAAGCTCACTGTCTCAGCCTGTTTAGAAGGAAAACTGCTTATTGCCTGAGCATCTTAAAAGAAAACGTCAGAACACTGAGAACTGAAAGACAACTGAAATAATTCATGACTGTTGGTGATGCAAGAATACAATTAAATAAGCATGATTTCAGGTTAAAGTCTTTATGCCTCAAAGACACCCTAAGAATTTTAAACATTTTATTTTCCATTCATCTTCCTTCTGAACTGAACATGATCCCTTTTCAAACATTGTACCTATATGTGTGACATTGTGTCCTATTGTTTTTCTGAGGGTTAGCAGATAATGAAATGCTTCTTGTTTCACTCAAGAAAATCTTGTACTTAGCTGCTTATTGTTTCTGGTGAACTAGTTAACAACATTCTAATTGGAAAGAGGTATAGATATTTTTGAACAACCTATTCAGAGACAACACAGTGTGGAGCTGGAGGAACACAACAGGCCAGGTAGCATCAGAGGAGCAGGAAAGTTGACGTTTCGGGTCGGGACCCTTTTTCAGAAAAGCTGTGTTCCTCCAGCTCTACTCTATTATCTCTTGACGCCAGCATCTGCAGTTCTTACTATCTTTGTTCAGAGACAAGTTATGTCACCTGTGGAGGAGGTGAGACTTGAACCCAAGCCTTTTGGCCCACTACCACTGAATCACAGATTACCAGAAGATTTGACTCCTTTCCTTACAGGCAAGTTAGGCTCACTATTTTAATCAACCTGTTCAGGAATGCTATGACATACCTGAGACAAGTGGGATTTGAACCCAGACTGCCTGGCCCAT